GGGAGCCCGATGCGGGACTCGATCCCGGGACTCCAGGATCATGACCTGAGCCGAAGGCAGTCGCTTAACCAACTGAGCCACCCAGGCGCCCGACGAGTGTAGTTTCTTAAAAGTTCATTGCAAATGGTGCAGGCACTTTGGAAAACAGTCTGGCAGTTCCTCAAAAAGTTAAACCATGTGACCCATCAATTCCACTCCTAGGACCATACCCAAGAGAAATGAAAACATATTTCCAAATAAAACCCTGTACACCAATGTTCACAGCAACATTATTTATAATAACCAGAAAATGAAAACAAGCCAAGCATCCACCAACTGATGAAAAGAAAACAAAATGCAGGAGATAGATACAATGGAATATTATCCACACATAAAAATGAAGTACTAATACAGGGCGCCTGGGTGGTCCAGTCGTCAAGCGTCTGCCTTCAGCTCAGGTCATGATCCCAGGGTCCTGGGATCGAGCCCCGCATCGGGCTCCCTGCTCAATGGGCAGCCTGCTTCTCCCTCTCCACCACTTGTGCTCTCTTACACACACACACTCTCTCTCTCAAATAAATGAATAAAATCTTAAAAAAAAAAAAAAATGAAGCACTACTATATGCTACAAAGAACTGATCTGAAAGAAGAGTACATGTTGTAGGATTCCTTTATATGAAATGTCCAAAACAGCAAATCCACAGAGACAGAAAGTTGACTAGTGGTTGCCAGGAGTTGATGGGCAGGGATAGAGACGTTACAGCTGAAGTATTTCTTAGTGTTTACTGGGCTGTGTGAAGGATCAGACGCAGAGAAATTTGCCAACAGTTTTAGGCAAATCACAATCATCCCTCCCCAATCATGGTCATAGATCACCGGTTTCTAAAAAAGACACACTGTAATTTAAAAATAAATACACAAGGCGCACGATAGTACTTAAAAGATGGTTGTAGGGAAGGTCACAGAGTAGACAGCATCTGAGTCAAGACATAAAAAGGTAGTTGGGGGCACCTGGGTGACTCAGTTGGTTAAGCAACTGCCTTCGGCTCAGGTCATGATTCTGGAGTCCCGGGATCGAGTCCCACATCAGGCTCCCTGCTCAGAGGGGAGTCTGCTTCTCCCTCTGACTCTCCCCCCGTCTCATGCTCTCTCTCTCTCTCTCCCATTCTCTCTCTCAGATAAATAAAATTTAAAAAAAAAAAAAAAAAGGTAGTTGGAGAAGAAAAGAAAAGTCATCCCAATTAAAAAGACTCACGACTCACGTGTTTGTTCAAACCATACTTGAGTGTCCATTAAGTGCCTGGCAGTATTCAAGGGGGTGAGATTCTATGAATAATACAGACAAGGTTCCTGTTCTCAAGAAAATTACCGTCTAGAAGGGAGAGAGAGGAAAGACATAAACAAGTTTATGAGCAAGAAATGTTCAGTCAGTGATTCCTACTACAAAGAAAATAAAACAGGTCTATGGGCAAGGAACCTTAATTTAGATTGTATCACCCAGTGTAGCCTGAGGCAGTAACGGTTAGCCTGGCCTCAAGGGATAAAAAAGACTCACCATGCAACGATCCTGGAATGGAGTCTGGAGTTTTATCTGAGTGCAACAGAAAGCCAAAGAAGAATTATACCTAGGGGAGAATTGTGATTTTTTTTTCTTCCAGATTATCACCCCTATTACTGATAGGTAGAGAAGAGACTGTTGGACAAGAAAGGAAGCAGAGACCTGGGGCACCTGGGTAGCTCAGTTGGCTGAGGATCGGACTCTTGGTATCGGCTCAGGTCATGATCTCAGGGTCATGGGATCGAACCCCGCCTTGGGCTCCATGCTCCGCACGGAGTCTGCTTCAGATTCTCTCTCTCCCTCTGTTCTTCCTCTCTCTCTCAAATAAGTCTTTAAAAAAAAAAAAAGAAAAAGAAAAGAAAGGAAGCAGAAACCTGCTGGTGGGCTACTGCAGAAGTCCAGACAAGGCAGCTTGACCTAGAGTGGCACCAGTGACAATCAGGAGAAAGAAACAAAATCAGGATACACTGTGGAGGCAGGGGCAATGTTTTGGAGAGAGAAAAGGAAGTATCTGTGGCTTGACTACCTGGTGAACAGTAATGCCACTTGGTGAGCCCGGGAAGACTGAAGAGGAAGTGTTGATGGTGGAGAATCAAGAGTTCTGTTTTGGCCAAGAATGAAAATCCTATGACACCTTCAAAAAGATGGCAAGTAACCAACCAGATAAAAGAATTGGGGAGTTTTCTCCCCATCAAAATACCATCCACTTTTTTCAAAGAAATGGAACAAATAATCCTAAAATTTGTATGGAACCAGAAAAGACCCCGCATAGCTAGAGGAATGTTGAAAAAGAAAAGCAAAGCTGGCGGCATCACAATTCCGGACTTCCAGCTCTATTACAAAGCTGTCATCATCAAGACAG